AGTACAACGGTCTTTACTACGCAGTCCAATGGCTGAAGGACCGTGCGTCTGAGGTGGGCTCTGATCAGATCGAATAGTTAATCAATGCCTTTGATAAGGATTTGGAGTATACCATCGCCCAGCCCATCGCGCAAGTCTCTGACTTAGTTCCTATGGGGTAGAGGATCTTGCCTCTTGCGCCAGCGAGGCGCGTGTCATAGTCGAAGCGGAGGTTGACTCGGTGAACTTAACGCCTACCGGTCTGAAGGCGAGATCCTCTTTGGTTCCAGGGGACGAGACCCAGGTCAACACTGCAACCGAAGCTGCTAAATCGGCGCATTCATGAATTACATATATTTTTTGTTGTTATTATTTTTTTTAGAACTATCGCTTCGATATCCTGCAATTAATACCAAATCGCATCTTCTGCCGTTTTTACTACCTTTTTGTTGAATGCGTGTACATCGGACGTCCAATCGTCCTTCAAGTTACTGCCACTTCGTAAATGCGCTCTTGCCTGTCGCTGTGTCGTGATCTCAACCGCCTTGCTTGAATCGCGGCGTTCTTCTATTTAAATCGAGTTTGTCCACTTAATACTCATTTCTTCCCAGCGTTTCAACCATGTCTGAGGAGGTGAACAGTCCTCTCGTCGCTGTCATGGACATTTCTTCTTCTTCATCCTCCTCCTCCTCCCCTGCCCCCGGTACATTCTTTGGGTAAATTGTCCTCCACCCTCAAGTACCTGTACATCGCACCTCCCTCCCACTACGAATTGTGGAAGGTCGAGGGTGAAGCCTCCATGTACAAGAGAGAGACCTCTACCCTGAAAGGAAAACTTCAGGAGGCCTCGGTTGAGACAGCAGCCCTCAGTGACCAAGTTCAGAAGGCCACCATCAAGTCCTTGCAGTTCGAGTTTGAATGCAAGGCTCTGAAGGAGGAGAAGGAGCTTTGGGAGGAGGAGAAACGAACCCTAGAGGAGGAGAAGCGAGTCTGAGAGAGGAGGATCGCTTTCCTCGAGAGGCGACTAGAGATAGAGAA